CATGTCCATCGCGCGCGAGGATTTTAGCTATTTTGTCCATGATGATATGGTGACTGGACGGAGTTGTGCCAGCCCACGGCTTGATGAGTATCTTGCCTCCGTCGACGACAAAAACAAGCACGCACATCGCGATGACGGTGGCGGCTTTGCTTTGGAGACGCATCGCCAGCTCTTTGCGCTTCGTCTGACGGCGTGTGTGCGAATAATAAACAAGTGCCAGCTTAGAATAATGAGGAAGTTGAGCTTGACGTGTGAATGGTCGTAAATAACGTGGCTTAACGCTCGTGCTATACCCTTCAGGCGTCGCCAGGTTGTGATGTCACCTAATTGTGTTCAACCTCCAGACAATTCACTTTCACTAATGAACGAACACTCCAACAGCGTTTCACACCGCAAACGCCATATATATGCGCTGTATAATATGTTCGTGCAGCAATAAACCCTCACACATCCAAGACTGGTCGGCTTTTCCATTAAACGTGCTAAAGCATATATCTATCGAAACGCTTATTGCCTGCATTGCATACAATGTGGCTTAATTAGAATATTGCGAATTTCACAAAATGTGTGTTCATCTGTAGACTACCCTGTAGATTAAATCTCAACAACGTATGTAGCGAACACTATATCATTATCACTTTTTTTAACAAATTTTGACGATGTATACGAGTGATTCTACGTGCGATTGCTGCAATAATTACGCTAGTTTGGCACACAAACAATGCAGCAACCACAAGCAGACAGGCAATAACATCTATGAGCCAATACTGTAAGAAATTCAGTTTAGTGCAATGCTATAGGACCGAATAAGACAGCAAATTTATAGAAACGGTTTCAAAAAAATTTAACACGCCATGCTTGCAGAATAAATTAAATTCCTCTACTATATTATATTGTGTTAATTAAGACAGCACTGTAAATCCCAAATTAGGTAAAGCGATTCGGGGTTTTGTATTCACATAATGTGGGCAAATTTAGCAGAGCGACTCTCGCAAAATGTTGTTGCTCGCAACACGAATGCTCGTACAATGCTAACACATATACACATATCATTCACGCATCATGTCTTCTTATACCGAGTTTATTGTAAATAAAGAAACATTTACACTTTCAATATTGCTTTGTATTGAATAAGTAAAACTGATGGGTAAATTCAATTTTATCTCTGTTAACTGTCACTTGGTATCTCCCTAAAATATCTTTAACTAGAGCACTCGNACGTATGTAGCGAACACTATATCATTATCACTTTTTTAAACAAATTTTGACGATGTATACGAGTGATTCTACGTGCGATTGCTGCAATAATTACGCTAGTTTGGCACACAAACAATGCAGCAACCACAAGCAGACAGGCAATAACATCTATGAGCCAATACTGTAGGAAATTTAGTTCAGTGCAATGCTATAGCACCGAATAGGACAGCAAATTTATAGAAATGGTTTCAAAAACAATTAACACGCCATGCTTGCAGAATAAATTAAATTCATGTACTATATTATATTGTGTTAATTAAGACATCTCTGTAAATCCCTAATTAGGTAAAGCGATTCGGGCTTTTGTATTCACATAATGTGGGCAAATTTAGCAGAGCGACTCTCACAAAATGTTGTTGCTCGCAACACGAATGGTCGTACAATGCTAACACATATACACATACCATTCACGCATCATGTCTTCTTATACCGAGTTTATTGTAAATAGAGAAACATTTACAATTTCAATATTGCTTTGTATTGAATAAGTAAAACTGATGTTTTATTCAATTTTACCTCTGTTAACTGTCACTTGGTATTTCCCTAAAATATCTTTAAATATAGAACAGGGTCCTTTCATGTATAGATGGTAACAAATAAGGGCGGTTCTCGCGATAGCTATGCAAGTTAGCCACGTAGAGATCGCAAGAACCACAAGCAGACATGCAGTTATATCGATGAGCCAATATTGTAGGAAGTTCAGTTCAGTGTAAGCAGGGGCTTGCTGGTTGGTATAGAGCATCGTGTAATTCACCCAGAATAACACGGTCTCATCAGGAGACATCGGCAGGCTGTGATGGTAGATTTTCGAAAGCTGACGCATGCGGGCTGCATACCTGTAGAATTGTTGATGTTGTCTGGTATAAGCAACGATATTCTTCAAATTATCATATCAAACTATTAGGTAATATAGAGCTGAATTCTAGAATTTTAATAAGGTTTGATGAAATAAACTATAAAGCTATAACTAATATGAATAAAGACGATTATACTCTTCTAGCCAGTGTCGTTTTTGTAGCAAGCAGTGCCTTTGACTGATGTCCGTGCAATTTTTAGCGATATAAAATACACGCTCGGCAAACATATCTGTCTGAGATAACGTAATTACCGTACGCAACAGACTTACGCGTTATTCTTGACAACACGCCTAAGGGCGGATTGTAGGCTTTCTGTTGTTATAGTATGGAAGTCAATCATCTCGCCGATTCCTCTCTCTTGAACCATATGCGCGTTTCGAGACTGGTCGGCAAAGATCGGCATGACGACGACAGGGGTGGCGTGGCAAATCGCCTGCCATAGTCTATTAAGCCCACCATGTGTGAAAAATGCATCTATCTTGCTGTGAGCTGCAAAGAAAATCATAATCATGTATATACATTTCATGTTATTTTCCATATTCGTGTGTACTACTAATAACTGCGTGCGTTTGAATTCATTTCGTATATCCTTTCCTTTACCTAGTAGGTCATTCTGCGGTGCCCATTCTAATGTGACAACGTTGGTTGGAAGTCCGGTCATGTTGAAGTTAGCGATAATGAATAGGTACGGTAGATTAGAGACAGCCCCTAGAAGCGCAGTCGTAAAACGCTGGTTCTGAAAATTGAAAGAAACAAGCGCAGCGCCATACTAGCTCTACAAACGTAGCGCATTGCGCCACAGTATGGCTATATCAGTATATGATTGTAATGGATGCAATTTATGTAGCCTACCCGACAACACTGCAGCCAGTGGTGCAAGAACAAAGTCACTATTCGGTAAAATAGAAGTGCTAGCAACTGCCGGCAACTGTTAGAAAAACTCGCGCGTACGTTTTCGTAATATTCACAACAGAACGTCACATTAATGTAAGTGAGTTAAGCAATGAGAGAGGTATGCTGTGATCGTCCTCACTGAAAAAATAATCGACGATGAACCTATAGTTTGTCTCGGAGGCGCAGCAGGGGCCCGTTGTCAGAAACAAAATTAATCTTAACATTATCGACTCGTAAACGGTTGACAGAAATATCATAAAGTTACGAGGACGAAAAATCCTCGCACATTTCTTCGCATTAGCATTAACATTAGCATTAACTTTGCGATGATTCTGTTAACGGCCCCCAGGCTGTTAATGTGTCTAATCATACACAGCGCATGCGCGGCCTTACCTCGTCAAGACCGCCAGGTCCGTA